AGGCAGCATCCCATCCAGAGAGAGAAAGGAGCTCTGCAGAGCTGTACAGAATGAAAGGCATCCACAGGCAGAGGGAGAGGGGACAGGAAGTCCTACCAGGCAAAAAGAGTGAACTGGTCACTTCAAGGTCGCTTCCTTTAGGGGACGGCAGGGGTCTATCAGGCAGATCACCTGTCTGGTGCTCATCGGGTGTTTAAGCTTCCATTTCTGGGAGACCCCAAACTGTCATTAAATTGTCTCAGTTTGGTGAGGTAGAGCTTAGCATAAGCAAACATATTTTGGACCTATTGTCTTGTTGTGAACCATAATTAACAAAGGTTATATTCACTTAGTTTATCTGCTTCTTGTTAATTGCCCCTCCCAGTCATTTGAGCCCCATGAGGGCCAGGACCATGTCTCATTTACTCACCTTCATCCCCAGCTCCTAGTACAGTGTGTGACACATAACAGTGCCCAGTAAATATTTGTTTTAAGAAAGAGAAAGAAAGGATGAACGTCATAGATGTTTCTTCCTTTCCCAGCATCCTTTCCTGCTTTTGCCAATTTGACCACCTCCATCTTTCAGCACACTTTGCCTGGATTTGCTTCCATTTCCTGTTTTCATGGAATATAATATTATGGAGTGGAACAGCCATTTTTGGTTTTCTTTTCTTTCCTCTTCTTCCTGCTTTTAGCATATAAGTATCAGTGTTGGGACTCAGCTTTCTAGCCAACAACAAGTTTTTTCTGAAACTTTCTCAATAGAAACTCAACATTGAGCTCTCTTGGTCTTTTTTTATGTTTTCATATGTATAAGACTTTTCTCCTCAATGGAGAGGGAGGCTCTCTAAGAACAGAATTTCTTTTCTAGCTCAGAGAGTGGGTGGCTGAGTTCTGCGCAAGTAAATCTCAATAAACATGAGGGAGTTGATAAGTAGTATTTTTTAAAGCCAAATAAGACTTGGATATGCTGTGCTTACTATGTCAAAAAATTCCAAATCAGTAGATTCTGAAACTGTTACAACCCTACAGCATACAAAATTTAATTAACCAAGCACCTTTTGTGTAGAAATTCTATTAGAAGTAGACACGTAATAATAACATGTGTTGTCAAAAATCCTGCAGAATAATTTCTTATAGATGACTCCCTGTTTAAATGGAGGAGCTGGGGCCCTTATTTGGTGGCATATCTCTGCACACATTTCTGCTTCACATCGCTTCAGCAGGATTATAATCATAAAAAAGGAATACACCTTCATCTTAATGTTAAGCTCTGCTCGCCGCGCTGATAGCAATTCTTTTGATGAAGACCGTAGCCAGAAACGTGGTTAAGGACGATTTCACCTGAAAGCCTCACATTCCGGATTTTTTTTTTTTTTGGTTTGCCATCTTGCTTATCATTTACAGATATCCAAATACCTAAGAAGTGAGCTCAAAAGATGATGGAAACTTTTGATCCTTGGAAATAACTCACACATTTGTTTTGCTTTGCTCTAATCTTCAGAGCTGTGTATCATGCTGACAAGTCCCAGATTTTTAAAAAACGGATTTTCCTCTGGGCTTTCCCCCTCTTTCAATGTGGTAATATTTTCTCCTATCTTCCATCTTCTAAAAAAAGTAGGTGTAACAGTCTAATCAGCCTTTACCAACTTTTCTGCAAAAACAAGGCGGAAAATATGAAGATATAAATCAAGAATTGTTATTATTGCTTATGTAGAAGTGATATATGGTTCCACTGGGCTTTGTGTTTTACATGGCCACTTTGAAAACACAGAATCCTGCTCAGGCACAAGCGATTTGTTTCTGAGCCCTGTGCTTGGATATTTCTAATAAGTATTATTCTGCCTCTGATTTTACGATATCAACAAGATACCCACTCAATAAAGTGTGTTCAGATTCCTAGTATTAAGTCTACATTGTCAAACAAAGATATATGTCCCTAAACTTCAAGAACAGTAGGTAGAGAAAACATTAGGCATAAAAGAACTAAATATTTGTAAATCATCATAATACCAATGATAGTTTTCTGCATGGGACAATGTCTGGAAGGATTATATCAACATACTGAGCCACGTTATTTCTGGACAGAGAAATCAGAGGTAATTTTAATTTTCTTTTTCTTTTTTTGCTTATCTATATTAATTTTTTTCTAACTGTGAACATATATTACTTTTGAAATAAAAAAGATCCTTTTCAGAGAATAGTACATAGGAGGAGTTGATAAAACTAAGTATAAAAATAGAATGAATAACATTCTTTAGTGGGAAATAGGGAGAGTGGACTCTGTGAAAATCTGATTTATCTTCTGTTAATTTCTGAGTTCATCTTATGCACATTTTTTCAGCTTTGATGACAACACTGGCTACCTGTTGTCCAGCCTCACTCCTGTGTCTAAGCCAGGCCAGTATGCCTACCTGCCACATGCCAGGAGAATCAAGTAGCAGGCCTGCTCCCTAGTGGGAAAACAGGCTTCTCATTGGATCGTGAACGGCTCCTGCTCCATCCTATTTCCACCCGGCTCCTGAGTCCTGGCGCTTTCCTCTGTCTAAAGCCGTGTGATTCCCTCAGGACACCCTAAAGACTTGGTCTGAACTCCACCTTCCAGCTCTGAAGAGTGGTGACTTCCTTCAGCCCACAAACCCATGTAATAGCTTCCATGCCCCCTCAACTCGTTCCCCCACTGCCTTGTCTCAAGATGGTCAAGGAAGACAAGATTGAAAGCCCTCTCCTTACTGTAATAACCCACCTTCTCACATCTCAGAGTCTCATCTTGCAGTCCTATTTGGGATCAGAAGAACTTATGTGAAATGGCAGAGAAGGCTGGACCAAAGGACATAATGTTGTGGTGTTTAGAGTAGTGACCTCAGGTCAAACATCTTGGAGATACTCAGCTATATGAACCAGAATGACCACATCCATCCATTGTTTATGTAGTGTCTGTCCTGACTGGTCAGTATCCATGCCTTATCAGTTGTTAAATATTTTGATATCATCCTCAGAGTAAAGTTGTAGTGTTGTAAATTGACAGTACTTACAAGAAACCTGAACCTGAGTATGACTTAGGGTCAGCTTTTTACCTTCTTGAAGCCTTGGTTTACACATGAGGATAATGGGAGTACCAGTACTGCCTTGCCCACTTCAAAGGGTTACTGTGATGATCAAATTGTCATATTGGATGCAGAAGTTCTCTGTAAATTGTGAGAGACTGTGCACAGGCAGGGAATGATGATAAAAATGATCGATAATGATGATAACAATGTTGGTGGTGAAGGTCAAGGTGATGGTGATAATAAAGAATAAAAAGAAGACAAACTTGGGAATGCTAAGGACTATCCTTTTCTAGCTCAATGTGCTACAAACATTGCTCCCTGGCTCACAATATACAGTAACAGTTAGAAGCACATAAACTGGCAACATCAACCCTCTCTGGTTTGTGCCGTTGTAGCTCCCAGGTTGTTTACTGGCCTGGTGCTGATAGGCATTCCCTTTGTCCGTGGGCATGGGTTCTATGATTTGTTTCACATCTTGGCCAGGAAATCCTTCTATCTTGTACTTCCCAACAGCAGGGACAGCCCTTGATGTCCATTTAATGATCCGCTAGAACCCGGAGCCAGCAAAATAGAAACGTGGAATTATCCCAGTGGGTCCCGGCACCCCTACACAGTATAATGTGGGCTGGATTCCCATGTGCCCCCTTCTGATATATGTCCCCTGATCCCCAAACCCACTCTGGAAGTGTCTTGGACAAGCTGTTGGTGGCCAGGTGGAGTCAGTAATTGGCTCCCTCTCTCCCTTCCTTTCTCAGCCCTGTCTGCTTCCCCGCCCCCCTTTTTGAAGACTCTGGGTCTGTGCTGAGTCATATAGGATGCTTCTGGCTGACCTTGACAAGAGCCCCACCCTGACCTTGGAGAAAGGTGCAGAAGAGCTCTCGGAGTCTATTTCAACAGAGCCAGAACGTGCTCACAGAGTAAGTGGCTCCTATAATTCACTCAGAGCAGCAGCTGGGTGGCAGGGAGGTTTAAATCCTATGGCCTTGAGGGAAGAACATTCTCTAGAAAGTTTTCCCTTTCCCTTGTTAATTGTTGGATAGAAATACTTCCCCAGAGGAGGCCCCTTGGTGAGGGCTTTGCTGTCCCTTCACAGAGTAAATGGCCTCTGGGACCCTCTCTTCCCTTCCGCATGCTTTGGGATCAGGTATTTAAAAGTTACACAGCATGTGAGAGAGTGGGGAGAGGAGAGGAGGCTGCTCCCAGAGGCTCTCCCGTACAAGGAGAGAGAGCAGGGCCTCGGGGTGCGGCTGACGTGTGGGGTGTCATTTTGCAATGGGCTCATGTTCACAAAAGGCCTCAAATTCCACTTTATACACTATCTCCAAATGAGGTTTATCATACAGTCACAAAAATACACCAACAAGAGTCAACCATTAAAACATCACGATTTCCATTTGGCCCAGTTTTGGCATTTCTTAACATACAAGGAGCCTCTCTTCACCTTGGAGAGACCCTGGGAATGACTGTGAAGGAACCAGAGTGATTGTTCGGAGGAACTGGTGTGGGCTTCCAATAATTCCATGGGCGAGTTATTCTACCTGGTTACTATATTTGACTATCTTTAGAGACTTGTGAAGTCAGCACTGTGATCGGCCCCATTTCACAGATGGGGAAACTGAGGCCTTGTTCAAGTTCACACAGCTAGAAAACAGTAGAGCTGGGGTACAAATCCAGGCTAGTCTAGCCCCAAAGCGTCATTCCATCCTTCTGTTATAAATGACAATGCAGCCCATCATTTTATAGCTAACATTGTACTTACTCATCAGCCATGGACCCCTGGGATCATCCTCCTGGGGGCGCCACCCCCTCTTGGTACCCCTCCCAGTGATGGTCCTGAGGAACTGTCAGGTGGGGCTTGGGTTTATGCCTGGGTTAAAATCTCCTACAATTCCCTTCTGAGAGAGTCTGAGGCATCTGATGCCTTGATCGCCCTGGGTGACCTCATGTTTAAGTTAGTCTGACCTCCCTGAGCTCATTTCTCTGTCTGGTCACCTCTGCTTCCATCAAAAATAACAGGTTGCTGATAAGCCGGCTCCCAGCTCCCCTGCTCAGACAGCAGACTCGAATCTGCGCTCGGAGCAGGCCTCTCAAGTTCAAAACAGCCCTCGCGCTCTGTAGTTTGACAGGTTGAGAAATCCAATCCATTTATTTTGAAAACCCATTAAGCCCAGCCAATATGGGATATTTAGAAAGGCCAGAATTTTGCTCCTGGTCAGAAGGTCAGTGCTGTCATAAAATAACAGCTAAAGGAAGTGAAACAAACGTATTTTATTGTAGGGCTATAATTCCCAAACATTCTTTAAAAATGTACTTTCAGTTAAAATAAGACAAAACAAAAACACAGCACACTGAATGGCCGGAAACTGCCACCACTGTAAACTCTTGTTTCAGAATTATATGTATTCAACGTTGCGTGCCAAGCGTGCAGACCAGTGACAGTCACACGGTAAATGCCCAGTGAGTGTTCCATGAATGAGCCGCAAAAAGGTTTACTTTGCTGCTTAACATTTTTCTTGGGTATTAGTTTTGCTTATTCCCAATGGCTGTTAAATCAACTTCAAGAAAATGTCTGATTTTAGTGCTCTAGGGTTTTGGAAAGTGAGTTTCAGAATAAGTAAGTTTGACTCTTCTTGGCAGCTTGAATTATATTGTTGATGATACAGATAACAGGGTCTCATGGGCAGATTCTCCAAAGATAACTTGTGTGATCCTTTCAACCTTGTGGAGGAGGCGTGGGAGATGGTATTATTCTCGTGTTATTCCTGGTAAGGGTTCGTAAGTACAGACCGTTACCTGAAAGAAAATAACCTTGCTATTAGGTGATCCTGAACATGAACGATGTTCAGAGGATGGTACAAAACATTCTTATGTTTTCCCACCAAGCCCTTCCAGTCTGTGTGACATCCTCCTCTGATGGGCATCTGGACCACCTTCTTTTTGGATCTCCCCTCCGTCTTCTCTTACCTCCCACAACCCACTGATCTTCTCTACCCCATCTCTCCAAGCTCCATCCTGGAGAATCACCAGGAGACCCTCAAGGTTCTAAACATGACCCCTGCCTTTGCCCTGGTGGGATATAGCAGGCCCTAATTCTACATCCAAAGATTTGGTTTGTAGTCAGAGGGAGCAAACTTATGACCTGGGATCAGAGCTGACCTTGGAGTCTTGCGGTAGACCAGATAAATAGGGCTCCCTTCCTCTGCCTGAGCTGTGAACCGGCTGAGAAGACAGACCAAAGAGCAAGCTGATGGTGGTAATTGATCACCTTCATGAGAAAGCAGATATTGGAGAAAATGGCTGATAGCGGTAAGCAAATAGGGTTCCTCATACAGAATCCCAGAGTTAGAGGCTTACCCATGCTGGACTAGGATAGGCTGCCCGTCATCAGGGCAGAACCCAGTGGGCAGGTAGCTCAAAAGGGAAAGGGGAGGTAGGCACTGGGTGATGAACGCCAAGTTCCTTCTTCTAAACCCATCAATAAGGTGAGTTATTTTTCCTCTCCAGGGGAGGAATGAAGGAAGAGTGGGGAGGGCCGGGCGATACTCTTCTAGATGTCTCTTCTCAAGAAGAACCCTCCAGAAGACAAGTATGACCCCTTGACACGTTTCGTTGACCTACCTCGTTTTCAAAAAATTGACGTTGTAGGTAATGTTTAAAAAGAAGGAAATTTTGCATAAAAATCAGAATTTCTGGCTTTTCTTGAAAAGTGGAGTGACTTATCAGCACTGAATCTGTATTCCCAGGTGGCAATAACGACTCGGAGCTGCATTGTGCCTCCCCTGTAGGCAGGTCAGGGGGTCTAGTGATCGAGGCCCCGCTGCCAACTGGGGGGATGTCACTCCCTCCGATCTTGCTCATTTGTGTTGCCTGCCTGGTCCTTCCGGGTCCTTTAGTTTGTGGCCTCTGCTTTACCTATGTAAGTCTAGAGTGGAGTGTCCACAGGACCAGCAATCTTGTTTCTTGCTAATATTGCCCACCTCTACTGATCATTGTCTCATTTTGATATGTTATTATCAAAACAAAAAAAAAACACAAAAAATATATTATTAACAAAGTCTTAATCTTTTTATCCTCTCTTACTAAAGACCTCTTCCATACCAGAGGCTTTGAGTTGGAGAAGATAAAAGAGGTGAGGGAAAAGGAAAATCCTGTCCTATTAAACAAAGGAAGAACCACGGCCAGAGGTTAAGGAGGCTGTCGAGGTGAACTGCAGAAGGAAGACACCCCTGCGGTCCTTTGCCGTCACTCCCCTGCACCCCAGCTACAGTTAGTTCTGCTTTACTGGGCACCATCGATCCAGACGAGCGACAGATTGCACATCTGAGTGTGAGATCCCGAAATACACTTTGCCTCCCTAGGGTGACCAGTTAGCTAGAAGCCACAGCCCAACTGGATTCACAGCTGCTTTTCCAGGGCTAGTGATGGGTGGCGAGGAGCAGTGACAAGGAGAGAAGGTAGTCAAGAGTCTGTTATTATAGCCTGCCTGAAACTCTTCTGTTTCTTCCAGAGGTACAAAGGGGTTAACTCAGGGAAAAGCAGGGCAGTATGAAGCAAGTCAGACCTCATTCACACATTCCTCCTCTTACTCCGCCCACCAATCTGTGGGATATACCTATGCTTTCCTTAAGGACTTGGCATAGACCAGAGGGAAAGATGGTTGCTAAGACGGATGGATAGATGGATGGACGAGTGTACCAATGGATTGATGATTCATCTCAGGGGATTTTGCAAGTCTCCTCCATGTGTTTGCAGCAGAAAACATTTTGATTTGTTTTTAGACTCCTACTTTTAACACCTAAGGTTCAAATATCAAGGCTGAGAAAGCAGAGATACCCTGTCTTCAATAAGTGGGAAGTGGAGATTAAGAGCATGGGCCTTGGAGTCATTTTCTCCTCATTAACGTCTCTGAGCCTTGTTTCTTCATGTATAAAATGATAATAATAGTACCTTTCCCAAAGATGGTTGCAATTAGAATTAAATAATTTTTGGAAAATACCAATAACTCAGTGCCCGGCAGATGGCAAGCACTCAGGACGTGATAACCCTAATTCAACTGAGAGAATTCTGTTTATATTGAGCACTCATTCCGTGCCTAGCTCTATCATGGGAATTAGATGTGTGATCGTGGCTACTAACAAAATTGGGGGATGGGTGCCTGCAGAGTATGGTCATGAGATAAAGTACAGGGGTATACTGACATGACTGTAACTGAGAATCCTCTATACATTCTGCTGCTGTTGGAAGGGGAGAAGGCTCCTGTGGCTGGAGCTGTTGAGAAGGGTGTGAGTAGGTAGAAGGAAAAAAAGTGGGGAGGAATTCCAGCTAAGGGAAGCCACACCCAGAGGGAACAAATCAGGCGTGATTATGCTGTTCGCTGGAGACGGACAGAGCTGTGGCTGCTGGTCAATTTCCTTCTAACCCACATCTAGAGAACTTCTCCTAAGAAGGAGATTCTGCACTGAGGCCTTTCAACTGAGTCCTGTCACTTGTGATTGTTTATTTATTTGTTTATTTATTCACTTATTTATTTGTTTTTATTGAGGTCACTTTGTTTTATAACATGATATAAATTTCAGGTGCACATCATTGTATTTCAACTTCTGTACAGACTACTCGTGTTCACCACCAAAAGTCTAGTTGCTGTCTGTCATGGAACAAACACGCCCTGTCACCCCTTTTGGCTCCCCCCGCCTACCTCCCTGGTAACCACCAATCTGATCTCTATATCTTTGTGTTTGCTCATTTGTTCATCTTCCACATATAAGTGAGGTCATACAGTATTTGGCTTTCTCTGTCTGACTTATTTCGCTTACCGTAATACCCTCAAGGTCCATCCATGTTGTCACAAATGGCAAGATTTCATCTTTTTTTATGGCTGAGTAGTATTCCATTGTATATATACCACATCTTCTTTATCCATTCATCCACTGATGTGCACCTACGTTGTTTCCAAGTCTTGGCTATTGTGAATAATGTTTCCATGAACAAAGGGGTGCATATGTTTTTTTGAATTAGTGTTTTCGTGTTCTGTGGATAAATACAGTGGAAGAGGCGGATTGTATGGTAGTTCTATTTTTAATTGTTTGAGGAATTTCCACACTATTCTCCACAGTGGCTGCACCAGTTTGCACTCCCACTACTTGCTAGTTATTTTACCCGGCCTTAGTCACTTCAACCATTCTGAGCCTCAGTTTTCTTCTATAAAACAAGAAGCATTCTGTTAATCTCATTCAGTATTGTGATGTTAATGAGGTTGCCAACAAGGAAGGCCTTTGTAAATGGAAAAGCATTGTACAAATGTAAGGGCTGGTTGGTGATAGCTTTTTCACTTGGTGGCCACAGGGGACTGTTTAGAACCGTGAGCAAATCATTCCCTTGCTGAAAACTCCTCCAGTGCTCCCCTATTACACTTAAACCCAAGACTCTTACCCTGTCCCACTGGACTTTATACAGTCTGGCCCAGGGCATCCACTCGCTTTTGTTCCACCAAAGGCTGAGCCATTCCTACCCCAGTGCCTTTGTACTTTCCGCTGTGTCTGCTGGAAACTCATGGCTGGCTCCCTGTCCTCATTCAGGTCTGGTCTCAGAAGCCATCTTCTCAAAGAGGCTGCCCTAGGCCACCCAATCAAAGGTATTGTCACCCCCACTCCCACTCTCCAGCCATGCTCTCATTTTGTTTCATTTCCCCTGTATTGTTTATCGCTATATGAACCTGGTTATTTATTGTTTACGTGTTTGTTAACTCTACTCCTCCCCCTCCCACATATAAGTTCCTTCCAAAAGGATCTGGTGTGTCTTGTTCACAGCCCTACCAGGGCCCCAAGAGGTGCTCAATAAAAAGTCACTGGCCAAGTTTAACTACTGTCCCCCAACCCCCAACACTTGGCACAGATGAGTTCCATTCGTGGGCAAGACATTTACAATTCACCACAGACTTCTAAACCAGGAGAGCACGCACCACGTCGCGCTCCGTTAACACCTGC